ACAGCAACCAAAACCGGCGCACTAAAGTGCGTGGTTAATGGTTGTACAAACTGAAACTGAGATTTTCCTTCAAACAGACAAATTTAGGATCTGTATTTGTTAGTTTCGGCTTGGTGCCATTAGAAGTTACATGTTATTAATTGTATCGCGTTCTTCTAAGTGGTTGGTTCACTTGATTTTGTACGAATATAGATGGTTGCCCTGAAAACACACTATACGAAAGGTGGTGTTCCCTGGATTGTTCAAACATGTCTGTACATTGCGTTTAGGATTTCATGTTGTCCCACCAAGAACAGATTCCGCATGTTCAGTGGAAGGAAGGACTAGCTTTTGGACCATGAAAGTTGAACTTTCTCATGGTAGTTACGGGCCGAGGATTTCGTCGGGGCTGCCGGATTGTGGCTTGCACTGCCCCGTTGTTGTGTACATCGACATCGAACGCCTCTTGTGACTGTATCCAGTGTCTCAAGGACCCAGTGATTACTGTGTCATTCATTGCTTATACTTGGATCCTTGAGTGAGTGTGTAAACTCAGAGACGTGTTTCGCGTTCCCACCGGAAAACATTACAAGCCCAAATGGAAACAACTAGAAAAACTGGAATATCAACAATTGGAATGCATGCTTCCATCCCCACAGAGAGTGCATACTAAACCCTCGATAGAATGGAATCGTGGTGGTACTATTCAACGATCACGGAGACATTGATTTGAGCGTTCCCTATTCATCATACGAAATGCAGATGAAAAAAATAAGAAAAGAAACGGGACAACCGGAACAGTACCGTTTGCACATGCACGTTATTTTTTCCGTACAATAGTGTGGATCGGACACTTTGGTGCATAGACTCTACGTGTTCCTTCGCGGCCAGTACCAGTTTGCGACGAGCCACACGCGCTGAGCCGGAGCCCGAATATGGCGTGACGGACGGCTCACACTCGCTCATGTAACCGTTCTCGGTCGATTGGGGCACACTGGTCATGGAGCTCGTGCGACTGGTTAGTGAACTGACATCATGCTGAGAAACGATGGAGGAGGGTAGCGGACATGAGAGGGCATCAAACAATTTGTTATCCATACATAATAAAACAGATCACAGTCTTTCTGAAATTTAAACTGGCTTTGTTTAGTTCATACAACTTCGGTGTTACACTTTCGCGGGGCTGTTTTTCGGCTGTCCAATCGGATTAATTTTTTTTCGGGGGGGGGGGAGCATGCTTTAACGGGTAACTGGAAATAAGTACACAAACTGCAAAGTAAGCTTATTTTCAGCATTGTATAAAACACCAATGCCAAACAAGACTATATGTTTTTCTACAATAAGTCGTATTTCAATGACTCGACAAAATTGACCGGGAAACACACGAACAATTTTGCGGTTTTTGTTGTTGGTTCTCTGGGGTAAAGGAGGATGGGCTGATCATTTAACCAACGCGACCCCAACTGGTCCACACGTCAGAAATGAGTTTCACTGAGAGCCGATTTTCATCTGTTCAAGTGTTTCAACACACTGAATCCCGTCCGGATAGCAGGAAGAGAATGTGTGAGCGCGATAGCAAGAGAAATGTGGTGGTTTCGTAG